ACACGTGCCCCACTCCTCAACCTGGGCTCCCCAACGCAGGCCCGGGAGCTGGAGATTGGGGTGCACTGGCGAGACTGGCGGCAGCTGTGTGGCGTGGCCTTCCTGCGGCTAGAGGACTTCCTGGACAACGCTTGTCACCAGCTCTCCCTCAGTCTGGTGCCCCAGGGGCTGCTCTTTACCCAGGTGCTCCCTACCCTGCACCCTGATGACACGGGCCCCGGCTCCGTCCGAGCTAGTAGGGCCTTCGAAACTATTTGATTCATCCACACAGAGGAGGAGAAATTGAGGGCCGGAGGGAGGAGGTGTCCAAGAACTAAGGATTCCCAGCCCCTCTCTGGGGATCGCATGGGGGCCCAGAGGCCTGTTATCTTGGGTCCTGACTTGCCTAGCCTCATGAGTGACCCTGGATAAATGTCTCTCTTCTCTGGGCCTCAGTTTCCCCACTGGTACCAAGGTGGACATTGAATCCATCCCTCTGGGCCCCTCTGGCTTTTGCAGCATTGACGCCGGGGGCTTAGGCTGGAATCCTGGAGGCCAGGGAGGTACCCTGGTGGCAGTTGGAGTGGGAGGGGACTGGTCTCCAGCCCACCCTCTGTCCACGCAGGTGACCTTCTGTGACCCTGTCATTGAGAGGAGGCCCCGGCTGCAGAGGCAGAAACGCATTTTCTGTAAACGCAGAGGTGTGGATGGGAGGGGGGCTGTGCAATTAGGGGGCAGGGTGGGGTCCTTGGAGGGCCGTGGGACTGAGCCCCGCCTTGTTGTCCCAGGTCAGGACTTTCTGAGGGCTTCGCAGATGAATCTCAACATGGCGGCCTGGGGACGCTTGGTCATGAACCTGCTGCCCCCCTGCAGCTCCCCAAGCACGATCAGCCCCCCCAAAACGTGCCCCCAGACCCCGGCCACGCCCCGGGCAGCTGCCCACCCTGCCTCGCCCAGGTGAGGAGCCACCTCGCCGTGGCTGCCTGCTTCTCTGACACGATTGCCTCCCACCACGTGCAGCTGGCGTCTTTCTGTTCCCTGTGACCCTCCGTCTGTCTCTTGGCATCATGGTGGGGCCGTCCCCACAGCTGTTCCATCTGCCCGTGCCCTGCCGCACGTCTGCTTTCTCCACACAGCAATTTCCCACCCAAGAAGAGCCCCTTGGGAGAAGAGCCGAAGCCCCCGCCCAAGCCCCCACGCCTCTACCTGCCCCGGGAGCCAACCCTCGAGGAGATACCGGTGAGGGGGTGCCGGCAGTCCTGGGGGCTGCTGGGGTGGGGATGGCAGGGCTGGAGGGAAACGGGGAAGGAAGCCCTGCTCTGCTCTGAGCCCCTCTGCCCTCACAGCGCACCAAACGCCCCCACATGGAGCCCAGGACTCGACTCGGGCCGTCGCTTCCAGCCTCTGCCACCAGGTACGGCCATCAGGCTCACTTCTATGCTTGAGGCATCTGTCTGCTCACTTGGGTGTTTGCGTGTCCATCCACACATCACCTGATGCTCCTTGCGCTCAGGTCCTTACTCCTGACACCCGTCTTACTGAGCTCTAGCTGCGTTCTAGACTCTAGGAAACTGCTGGCCCAGGACCCCCGCCCCCGTCCCCCACCCCTAGGCTTTCCAGCCTTATTGGTGGGGACAGCCCGGGACCAGGCCTGGAGGGTTTGGAGCACCTCGTGGAGGCCCAGCTCTTGTCCCCAGGGGGCTTCCTGTGCTTGTCTCTTGCAGGAAACCCCCCCGGCTTCAGGACTTCCGCTGCTTGGCCGTGCTGGGCCGGGGACACTTCGGGAAGGTAGGGGGGGTGAGGAGGGTGCTGTGGAAAGGGGTGAGTGGACCCCAGCACCTGAGCTGGGGGGGGAATGCTGTGACCCACGGGGCAGTGGGTGGGGGAAGCAAAGACTCCCCTGCGCTGTCCACCTGGAGCCCAAGCTCTCTCTGGTTCCCAGGTCCTCCTGGTCCAGTTCAAGGGGACAGGGAAATACTATGCCATCAAAGCGCTGAAGAAGCACGAGGTGCTGAACCGGGACGAGATGGAGAGGTGTGTAGTCAGGACAGTGGGCACCTAGCCCTGGAGGGGACCCTGGATGGCTGGCCGGGGCAGCTGAGTGCTCCTGGGACTTTGAAGAGGTGACCCTCGGGGGCCAGCCAGTCCTGAGTTCTCTTTTGAGCACCTGCAGTTGTTGACCACGTGCTCTCGGGCAGGTCGCCTCTTCTCTCTGCCCAATACGTAGAAAGCATCATTCTACCTGCCTGGCATTTTCACTTAAGACCCAGAGAGCCAAGGGTGTTGTGTGGGTGGCAGGGTGCAGCCAGCAGAGGGGTTTCTTCCCTCTAAAACCCACCCCCGGCCCTCCGCAGCCTGTACTGCGAGAAACGCATCCTGGAGGCTGTGGGCCGCACGGGGCACCCCTTCCTGCTGTCCCTCCTTGCCTGCTTCCAGACCTCCAGCCACGCCTGCTTCGTGACTGAGTTTGCGCCTGGTGGTGACCTCATGATGCAGATCCATGAGGATGTGTTCCCTGAGCCCCAGGCACGGTGGGTTCCCATCCCTCGTCTGCCTCTTCCATTGAGCCTTCCCTGATTCCCTATGCCCGCTCCCTTCATCCCGCTTCCTCCAGGGTACGCATCAGCAGAAGAGTGTGGAGTCAGGGAGGCCTTGGCTCAGATCCTGATTATCACCTGTCTTCTCACTCCCAAAGCATTGTGACCTTGGGCCACAGTTTATGCGGCTGTGAATGGACTGATAATAACTCTTTCATAGGCTTGTGGTGTAGATGGACATAATGTTTACTAAACTGTTGGGCGCAGGAACCAGTCAACAGTAAGTGATGGCAGCTGGCGTTATTTCTTGCCCACCAGAATGGAGGCTCTGGAGTCTAAGTCTGCCAATAGCTCTGTGACCCCGGGGGGGCATCACTTACCTGGAGTCTCAGATCCGTATCTGAAAAATAGACATGATGACTATCAACAGCAGGTGGCTGGGAGGAGGTAGGAGAGGAAGGCATCAGAACACATGGCATCTTTCCTGGCACAATCAAAGAGCCCAAGAAGGGTAGGCTGTCAGTGGGCAGCAACCTTGGGGCCACTGTCCGGAGAAGCACCTACTCTCCCCACCCCCTAACCCCTGGCATCAGGCTTTCGTCCAAGCTGACTCTGGCTGGGACATCCAGGAATCTCTAGCCATGGCCATCCTGGTGCCTCCCTGCCCTGTCCCCCCCGCAAAGTCCTGGCCCTGAACTACCCCCTACACCACCCATAGGTTCTACCTGGCCTGTGTGGTCCTTGGGTTGCAGTTCTTACACGAGATGAAGATCATTTATAGGTAACTTGCCCCAGAGGTGCTGGGGGGCGGGGTAGGTGAAGGAGCAGAGGCTGCCCTCCTCCTGCGATGCTCCTGGGCTCCTTCGATCTGCCCCCCTCGCCCTCAGGGACCTTAAGTTGGACAACCTTCTGCTGGACGCCCAGGGTTTCCTGAAGATCGCGGACTTCGGGCTGTGTAAGGAAGGTGGGCGCTTCCTGTCCAGGATCCCGTGTCCTCCAGCCTTGCTTGCCCAGCGCAGGCCAGCAGGGTAGTGGGCAGGTGGCCTCCCCTACTCACCCCGGCCTGCGTTCCAGGGACCGCTGGGCACACTGGTGCTTCCTTCCCAGCCCTAGAGACTCAAAGAGCCCCAGCTTGCCCTCAGCCAGGGGAGAGAGTGTGTATGCGGGATGGGAGGGGGCATCGGGTTCTCCTTTCTTTGTGAGCTTGGCTGAGGCTCTGTGTCCTCCTGTGAGGTGGCATAAAAACTGTCCCCACCTCCAAAAGTTCAGGGCAGGGCTCGGCACAGGGTTTGGCTTGCCCTGCGGTACCTGAGGTCATAGGAGTTGGCTGTTGATTCTTACAACTGAGGTTATGCGGATGAGACCCGTCGGGCCGGCATCAGTGTGGGTGCTGGTTTGCAGGGATCGGCTTCGGGGACCGGACAAGCACCTTCTGCGGCACCCCGGAGTTCCTGGCCCCGGAAGTGCTGACCCAGGAGGCCTACACACGGGCCGTGGACTGGTGGGGGTTGGGTGTGCTGCTCTATGAGATGTTGGTGGGCGAGGTGAGCACTGGACCCGGACTGCCGGAGCCTCTAGGTTGGGGCAGGGTGGGGGTGGCCCATGCAGCCTGCTGAGCCCACTTCCCCATAGTGCCCATTCCCTGGGGACACTGAGGAGGAGGTATTTGACTGCATTGTCAACGCGGATGCCCCGTATCCCCACTTTCTGTCGGTGCAAGGGCTGGAGCTCATTCGGAAGGTAATCACCGTGGGGGCCGGGCTGGGCTGCAGCTGCCCTGTCCCCACCCATCTTCGCCGGGCCCCTGTAGTCCAGCCCCTTTGGGACACCTGGGCAGGTGGGCAGTGCCCTCCGTGAACCCCAGACCTCTTGCCCAGCTCCTCCAGAAGTGCCCGGAGCAGCGCCTCGGGGCGGGTGAGCGGGATGCTGAGGAGATCAAGACCCAGCCTTTCTTCAGGGTGAGTGGCCCCAGGTGCCCGGCACGGTGGGAGGTGTCGCCTGGCCATGTGGGTCGCTGGGCCCTTGTCTCAGGCAGCTCTGCCCTCGCCCCCAGACCACCAACTGGCAGGCCCTGCTCGCCCGCACCGTCCAGCCCCCCTTCCTGCCCACCCTCCGTGGCCCTACGGACCTGCGGTACTTCGAGGGCGAGTTCACGGGGTTGCCGCCGGCCCTGACCCCGCCTGACCCCCGCAGCCCCCTGACGGCGCGCCAGCAGGCTGCCTTCCGGGACTTCGACTTTGTGTCAGAGGGATTCCTGGGGCCCTGACGGCCTCTCTGGCGTGTCCGCCCCGTCTGCCCAGCCGCGTGCCCTGCTTTGGAGGCCCAGGCCTTGCTGGGTATTCGTGGGCCTTGGGTCTCGAAGTGGCAGCTGCGGGGCTGCTTGTGGGGGGCTTTGCTCAGTTACTGGGCAGCATCCCCTCCCCTCCGCCCCCCCTCCATCTCCTGGGAGGCCTGGACCAGGAAGGATGGCACAGCAAGGAAGAATTTGGTTTGGTTTTTTAATATTTGACTCGCTTTTTGGATGATTAAACTTATAAAACGGTGCACTGGAGGCATCCTGGCTTGGGGGGCGGGGTGGGGGTCTGGGAAGCCCAGGTTGCTTGTGCCCAAGCCCTCCACGGGTCCTCTGCCTCCTTCCTTCAGAGGGCAGGACTGCCCACTGAGGCAGGGTTCTGTCATTCGGCTCTGCCGAGGCCTGGGAGGAGCGGGCAGGAGCGAAGAGCCCCAGGCCCTCCGAAGGCTGACCCCCAGGTGGGGGCGGCCCCTCTGTTTGCAGGCACAAGAAGGTGGCCTTGCCTCCAGCAACCCTACACAGCCTGGCTGCTGCCCTCCTCGCCCTCCTCCTCCCCCTCGGCCCACAGGGTCTCCCAGGACCCGGAGGGCCATCCACAGAAGAAGTGGGCCAGGTTGCGGGTCAGGCCGCGGTCAAAGGGGTTGCTGGGGCGCTGGCGGAGGTAGGCAATGCGGTGCGAGGAGATGAACTCCCAGGTGGTGGTGTTGCTGGCCACCAGGTAGAGGTGCGAGGCGAGGAGCAGGCCGGCCACCAGAGAGAAGAGGGACAGCAGCAGGAAGGTGGCACACAGCAGCCCGCTGGACCGCAGCCACAGCCCCCAGGGCCGGAAGAAATGGAGGCCAGACCTGCGGGGCAGGACGGAGACAGAGACCAAGGCTGGGGGGGGGGGAGGGCAGGGGTGCCCCAAGGAGCCCCCGCTGGGCAGGCTGTTTGGGAGAAGGCCCGAGGCACTTAAAGAGGCACCTCCTAGGTGCATGCTGCCCGCCCTACCCCCACACCCAGGGCAGCGCCGGAACCCACCACGCCAGGTACAGGCCCCACAGAAGCACCACCAGCTGCAGCGCCAGGTAGGCCACGAAGAGTGGGTGGTTGCGCTCCCCCACGCAGTTCTCCATCCAGGGGCAGTGGTGGTCGTAGCGGCGGACGCAGCGGCGGCACTCACGGCAGTGCCGGGCCCGCAGGGGCTGCTGTGGGCACGGAGGGAGGTGGGCTCAATGTCGGCCCCCCTCTGGGCTCATGACTGAGGGGAGTGATGAGGCCAGGAGGCTGGGGCCCCAATCTGGGAGGGCATCCTGGAGGGGGGAGGCCACAGCAGGAGTGGGGGGGGGAGGCGGGAGGTCAAGGAGTCTCCGAGACCTTGCCCCTGCGCCCTCCCGTGGAGGTCCCTGGTCACCCACCAGCACCAGGCAGTATCTGCAGCGCCGAAGGGGGACGGCTTGAGGAACCATGGCTGTCTGCTCCTCCTTGGCCTCCTCCTGCAAACGGGGGAGGGGGTATAAGGCTGGGAGGGAGATGGCACTCGTGCACGTTTCCCTGGGGGGCCAGCTTAGCCCTGGGGGTGCATGCGGGGCCCACCCCCAGTGTAACGGAGGCGGTAGGGTGGGGCACAGTGCCCAGGCCTGAGTGAAGCTGTGACCTCTGTCACAGTCGTTTCGCTGGGCCTTGGCAATTTCCTCATTGGAGGAAGGGGTTGCAGGGCTGCTAAGAGGATTCGCCGAGGTGCCCCAGGAAAGCCCTCCGCATAGATCCTGGCGCAAGAACTGTTACAGGGGCCTTGGGTGTCCCGTTGGTGGAAGCAAGGGTTCAGGCTCCCAGGGTACCCCCTGGTTACCTGGGGCTGGGGCTGGACATTCACATAGCCCGGGTCCATTAGCGACACGGCCAGGTAGAGCAGCAGGGAACCCAGTACGAGGAGCAGGAAGGTGAGGGGCAGGAGCAGCTCCCCCTGCTCTTCCCACTGCCGCAGCGCTGGGGAGGCCGGAGAAGGAGAGTGAGGCTGGGGCCAGAGCCGAACAGGAGGCCGCGTTGTAGGGGTGTATCTGGAGGTGGGGAGTATGTCCCTGGCTGAGCAAAGGCCTGGAGATGGGGTGTATTGAGTGGTCAAGTGTGGCCACTGCATAGAGCACAGGAGGGAGGAGTTTGGGCCCAGCACCCCCCCCCCCAAAAAAAAACTCCATTTGGATTCTATCTGTAGGGCAGTAGGGAGCCATGGAAGGTTATAGGGTCAGATCTGTTTCTGAGAACCTTCCTGCTGCTGCTGGAGGAAAGATGGATAGGGGAGCAGGGGGAAGCCTAGGGGCAGAGCCTATCCAGGAGGGAGAGGAGGGTAGCCAGACAAAGGCACTGGCAGGAAGAGTGGAGACAAAGGGCTTGATAGATAAGGGGTAAGGGAGTGAAGGGGCCAGACTTGACTGGATGTAGGGGAGAGGGAGGAGGGGTCCCTGATTTTGGCTCCATGACAGGGAGCGATCAGCTAGGTCTGATATGCCCATGTGATAGAGACAAAGGAGGGCAGGGCCAGGAAGGGCCCAACTCATGGAAGTGAATTAAGATGGGGGGGATGGAGGGAGGAGGTGAGGCGTGAGGGTGTGGGACAGTTAGATCACAGAGTGTGGACAGCTTTGGTACCCCCTTGGATGTGAAAAGGAGCAGAGAAGGAAAGTGGGGTGGGGGGGGTCTTTTCTGATGAAAACACTGAGCAGGTGTTTAGGCTTAAGGGTGAAAGCGGTGGAGGAGACTTAAGAAGGTATTGGGAGAAAAGTGAACACCCCCAGTCCAGGGGCTGAGGCTGGAGCCAGGAGGCAGGAGTGAGACTTCCCTGAGTGGCAGTGAGGCTGAGAACTTGGGCTGGAAGCAGCCTGCCAGGTAAAGAGGGGAAGGATGTTAGTGGGGGCGGGTCAGTGAGGTGGACGAGGACTCAGGGCAAGAAGTGAGGATGGAGAAATGAGGGACAGGCCGCTCCCTTCTGTGTTCTCTTGCCCTGGAAGGTGGAGAGCCTGGACTTGGGCCGCTAGTGGCCATGGAGGTGGGCGGGGTGCCAGTCCTTGATCTACTTGATCCTCGGAATCTTACGGAGGGACGTTTGGGAGTCAAATCCTGGGAAGGACCGGGTGGGTCTCGGGATCAGGGGAGATGGGGGCTCAAGTCCGTCGTCGGATCTGGTGGGCACCGGTTGGGTCCTGGGATGGGCAGGGCATCTGGCAGGGATCAGGAAGATGCTGGGATTAATTAGGGATCAACTGGGTATTAGGCACAAAGCAAGTGGCTCTTGGAATGACAGATGGAGAAGAGGCTCAGGAGCTGGCGGAAGTCGGGTGAATCCAGGGATTTCTGGGACTTCAGCAGGGAACCCAGTGAGACCCAAACGTCTGGGGAACCACGAGGAATAGGGTGGGTCCGGGGTCGCGCGGGGTCCGGCTCACCGGTATCGTGCAGGAAGAGTACGAGCGTGATCCCCCAGGTCAGCACAGTGTGCCCAGTCCGCACCAGGACCCCTGGGCTGAGGAGCGCCCAGGGAGCCATCTCCTCCGCCCGGGGCCCCACCCGGAAGAAGCGCCGGGAGGGGCGGGCCCTTTGAGGAAGAGAGGCCGCAGCCATTCTCGGATTGGTGGATCCTGGGGGTGGGCGGGGTCTTCTTGGGTCGGGGAGGCTGCCTATTGGATGGCAGCTGCGGCCGAGTAGGCCCTCGAGCCAACAGGTGCCTGAAGAGGTTGGGGGCGGGGCCGGCGCGCGCGCAGCTGGTAACTCCCTTAACCCCAGCCCCCACCAGCCAGGTAACTTTCGAAAGCGGAGAAGCAGGCGCGAGCCTTGACCCCGCCCCCTTGGGCTCCCACCCCGCCCGCCCCTAGCCCCTGGCCTCGCGCATGCGTGCAGGCCCCTGGGTGCTTCCACGCTCAAGGTGTTCGGTGCGACTCCAGGGTTGCAGGATTGTGCCGGCTTCAAAGACATGGTTGAGTTCTAGAGGGGCAGGACTAGTCCTAGGTTGCTCTGTGGTAACACCCTTATCTCCTTGCTATTCATTTTTAGATATTGCAAATGGGGGCGCCTGGGTGGCTCGGTGGGCTCAGCCTCTGACTTCCGCTCAGGTCATGACATCACGCTGTGGGTTCCAGCCCCACGTGGGGCTGTGTGCTGACAGCTCAGAGCCTGGAGCCTGCTTTGGGTTCTGTGTCTCCCTCTCCCTCTCTGCCCCTCCCCTGCTTGTGCTCGCTGTCTCTCAAGAAAAAATAAATAAACCTTAAAAAAAAAAATAGATACTGCAAATGGGATGAGAGCTAAGTGGTCATCCGTGGTGCAGATCCTGGGTAGAAGGGACCAAGTGGAGTCAGAAATACCAGCACGACCTTGGGCAAATTATTGAACCACTCTGAGCTGTTTTCTGTCTATAGTGAGGACTGATAATAGCACCCCCCACACACTAAGGTGGTTGGGAGGATTAAATAATTACAATATCTAGCACGGACTGTCCTCTCCCCTGCTATAAAGCCAACACCTCACCCTGCCAGAAGGACTTGCCCAACCTGAGGCTTCAGGCTATTTTCAGAGGAAACCTCTGCAGCATTCACTGTTCACACTCCTTCAACTGTGTCCCCAGGGCATTCCCCATTCTTCCCTGCCTTTTCTCTTTCTTCCTTTCTTTCTTTCTTTCTTCCTTCCTTCCTTCCTTCCTTCCTTCCTTTCTTTTCTTTCCTTTCTTTCCTTTCTTTCCTTTCTTTCTTTCTTTTCTTTCTTATGTTTTATTTATCTCTAGGAGAGAGAGAGAGAGAGACAGCGTGAGCAGGGGAGGGGCAGAGAGAGAGGGAGTCACAGGCTCCAGGCTCTGAGCTGGCAGTCAGCACAGAGCCCGACGCGGGGCTCGAACCCACTAACCGCGAGATCATGACCTAAGCGAAAGTCGGACGCTTAACCGACTAAGCCACCCAGGCTCCCCCTTCCCTGGCTTTTCCACTCACACCTCGCATTGATACCAGCATCCACCTTCTTTCTCCAACTGACCCTACAGTACACTCTTCTGACATCCACTGTTTTGCCAGCCCAGCATTCCATTTTCTGTTGAGGAACTGACGCTTCCCCATTCCACGTGGTTCTGGGGGTACTGTGTCCCTCACTCCACAGGGTGGTAGGAGACATGTGGGCATGTGACTCCAGACGGCCAAACTTGGTTCCCTATTTCAATGTCCCCAGTGATTGGTTCTAGGTGGTGGACATGTGACTCAGCAGGGCCAATCAGAATCATTCCGAGAGTGCTGTATAAATGCTGAGAAAGGGGCATTCTTCTGGAGCTCAAGTTTAAAGTATGGGATATAAGGGCACTGGCAGCTACCTTTGCACCATGTGGAGACAGACTGTGGCAGGAGAGAATGAAGCCACCTTATAGAGACATAGAGATAAGCAGCACTGAAAGAGGGAGTGAGAGACAGTCTTAGCAACATTGACTGGGCCCCGGATCCAGCTGTTCCTGAAGCTAATGTTAATTCTCCCGGTTGCGTCAGTCAATGAATTCCCTCCCACCTTTGACTAGCCTGCATAGGTATTTGCGTTGTGTGGCTTTCACTTTCAAATCAATCTTGGTTACTGCAATGGAAAGCTAGTGTGCTGAGTGGAAACACTTAAATAATCCTGAAGCTTCCGGGAGTCAGGCCTTGTGCTGGTGTCGAAGAGAGACAAAGTCAGACTCTAGTTAAAGTGGTAAGGACAGATGTTATCAGTAATATGCTCTTGCAATGTGAACTGAATGCAACTCTGAATGCCCAGGTGACTGGGCGTTTTAAAGGTAGGCTCAGGGAGTGGAGAGAGAGAACAGCAGAGGCTCAACAAGGCAGGGAAGTGAAAATGACAAAGGGTTGCTCAGTGTAGTGCTGATGAGGCCAGCGGTGTGTGCTGGGTGGCAGTAATTGAAGTTAGGTGCCTGTCCTCCCACAGGAACTAGGAAACGGAGGCCTGAGCCTTCCCAAACATTAGTTACACTTTGAAGGAATGGCCTTCAGGTCTCCTGAGTTGTAGATGATACAAATAGAATTCACAGGGACAGAAGTATACGCCACCGGAGGCCCTTTTTAGTAAATGCTCTAAGGGTGGTGTGGGAGTTCTAACAAGGTAGCCTGGAGCTTTTTCAGACAGGCGTTTTAAGGGGGGGCTGGGGTCATCTTAGGGGTGCGACCTTGAGCTGTGTTAGCGATCATGGTTTTTAAAGTAGGGGGAGGGAGGGGCGCCTGGGTGGCTTAGTCGGTTAAGCGTCCGACTTTTGCTTAGGTCATGATCTCGCGGTTCGTGGGTTTGAGCCCCGTGTCGGGCTCTGTGCTGACTGCCAGCTCAGAGCCTGGAGCCAATTTCAGAGTCTGTATCTCCCTCTCTCTCTGACCCTCCCCTGCTCACGCTGTCTCTCTCTCCCCTAGAAATAAATAAAATAAAATAAAATAAAATAAAGTAGGGGGAGGGAGATGGACAAAGTCAGGTGTGGTCAGAGCCTGACCCAGGTAGTTCTTCTGGGTCAAGGTTGAGGCCTAGTTGAGAAGAGGGCTCTGGAGAGCCTGGCCAGAGTTTGCTCAAGAGGTGAGTCTTTGTTTCTGGACACTGGGCACATCACCCGCCTGGCACGTGTGCGGTTGATCCCCTTCGATCTGTTACTGGCACCTAGACTTGTTCAGGGAAGAGCGCTCCCTGACCGGGCGCTGCCTCAGTGGTACTCAGGGGCACCGAGGGCACTGCTGGCCGTCACACCAGGACAAAGCCGGACTCCAGCGACGCCTCCGGCCCCTCCCACTTGTGCCCTTGTCCTTCACTCGGCTGCAACCACACGGGGTGCTTCACGGTTCTCCCCATAAGGCCCTTCTAGAAGGGCCCTCTGTCTATGATGTTCCCCACCCTGCCGGCCCGGCAGCCTTGCCTTTTGCAAGGTCTCCTCTGGTGCGAAGCCTCCCTCCCTCCCTGCTGGGGGACACCATGCTGTGTCTTGCGTCCACACTGAAGGTGCTCTTCCCTCCCCCATGGCTGCGCTGTGGCCCAGCTAACTCCAGTGTCCCCAGGGCCCCCCTCCGTGCTTACCAGCCCACAAGGGACGCCCTCTCTGTGCTCCCTGCTCACTGCACGCTGGGGCGTAATCTCACACCTAGCGCTGTCTCTACCATCAGACGCCACCACCCCGGGCAGGGGCCCCGTTGGGCTGTTGTCAGCTGTACCCCAGTGTCGGCTGGCATGGGGCTGTGGAGAGAATGCAGAGGAGCCAGGAACTTCAGCCCCATCCGCCACCTGTCCCCAGGCTGCAACTGACTGGCCCTCCGGGTCGGGCACGCATATCGACCCGATGTACCCTCCCCGCCGCAGGTCCCCTCACTCGGCCCAGTGCCCAAACCCTCTCCGGACCCCGTCCCTTCTGCAAAAACGACACTCCGCTCTTCTCCACTTTGCACAAAAATGTATTTCTGTGACATCCCAAAGTACAGACATTTACTCAGGCCCCAGGTGGTAAAGCAACGCGATGAGAGCCCCGCCCCGGGTCTGGCTCAGGCCAGGTGAGCATGGAGGGCAGGGGCAGATGTGGCCTGTTTGCCAAGCTTGGGGAGCACGGGGCAGCCGCCCCCTTCCCAGGGCAGGCGGGGACAGACTTCGGGGGAGAAGGCCTGCTGCCTCTCCCGGGGGCTGCTCGTCCAGCCTGTCCTGCCCGGAGGCAGAAATGCCAGAAGAATCCAAAACCAGGCCCAGGGAAGGAGGAAGGAAGAAAGGTCACCCCCGGAGGGATGCCTGCGGAGTCGGCCCTGCTTCCCCAGCGCCTTGCTCTGGAAGGGTGTCCTTACCACCGCCTGTCTCGCTAGAAGCAATTCGGAGCAAGGGAGGACCAGAAGGTATTTCGAGATACACCTGCGGCTCACACTTCTCTGAAACACAGCACGGAGGTTCCCGAGGTGAAGCCTGGGGACAAGGAGGAGAGGCTCGGAAGGGCCAGGCGGGGCCCCTGCAGGCTGGGCCCGGTGCTGGTCTGGAGGCAGTTAGCTGTTGCTGCGGGTCCGGCCGGGGCGGGGACCTCCTGCCTCACAGAGAGACAAGTGGGCTCCTCCAGGCAGCGGGGCGGGTGGGGAGCGAATGAGGCCGGCTCAGTTCTGCTGGTGGGGTGCCTGGGCACCATGAGTACTGCGGGCAGGCGAAGGGCTGGGGGGGGAGGGGCAAGCCCCGGCCCCAGAGGTGCTGGCTTCCAGGGCAGGGGCAGGTGCGGGATGTGTTCGGCAGAAGAGGCAGTGGAATCTGCCTGAGTTCTGGCCAGCCCTGGGCTGGGGCCTTCAGTAGCCTGGGACCTGGTGGGAGACCAGGAGGCACCTCCATAGCAGCGTGGCCTCAGGCGGGCCTGGCCGGAGAACGGCGACGCGGCTGCGAGCCCCGCTCCTGAGCGTCCTCTGGGGCCGGGCCCGCCTGGGCCTGGGCACTCACTTCCTTGCTACAGGCGGCCCACAGCCGGAGCACCAAGGCATCTAGGAGACCCGGTGGGGCTAGTTTTCATCCCAAACCCCGTCAGCCACACCCAGGAGTCCAGATGGGGTTCTCAGGCTTTGGGGGGGTGGGTTGGGGTGCTG